GAAGGAAGGAAACAGCAAGAAGACCATGGAGAATGTGGATAGCCTGGATAAGCTGGAGTGTAGATTCAAGCTAAATTCCTACAAGATGGTGTATGTGATCAAGTCAGAGGACTACATGTATCGGAGGACTGCCTTGCTCCGGGCTCATCAGGTAAGAACCACTAACTGGAATTTCTCTATACATCTCCCTCCCCAGCCAGGACCAGGCCTACCCCAGAGGCTTCTGATTGTTTTTCTTCCTTTATGAAAACCTCCTCTTGGATTTGAGAATTGTTGAGTAAGCGAGTATATTAGTTTGTTAAGGAGGCTGTAACAAAGTACCACAGACTGCATGGCTTAAACAACAGAAATTTATTGTCTTACAGTTCTGGAGGCTAGGATTCTGAGACTAAGTGTTGGCAGAATTGGTTCGAACTTTTTGAGAGCTGAGAGGGCGAATCACCTATTCCATGCCTCTCCTAACCTCTGGTGGCAATTTTTGGCATTCCTTGGCTTGCGGATCTCTGCCTCCTCCTTCACATGGTGTTCTCCCTATGTACATGTCTGTGTCCAAATTTCCCCCTTTTGAAGGATGCCAGTCATACTGGATTATGAGCCTGCCCTACTACATTATGACCTTATCTTAACTAATTAGATCTGCAATGGCCTCATTTCCAAATAAGGCTACCTTCTGAGGTACTGGGGGTTAGGACTTTAAGATACAAATTTGGGGGGATACAATTCAAACCGTAAAACCTGATGGCACCTTCCACTAAAGCTACTCCCAACATTTATGTTTCAAGTGGTATTGCTTGTATGAATTCTCTTTTTGCATGCTATCTCAATTGTGAAAGCTTCCTGGTACAGGTATGCAGGCCATGGGACCACAACCATGAAGTACAACATACAAGGCAGTGTGATACGCATGATCAACAAAAGAAACTAGGTGAAGTGATCAAGGGTAACTGGCATGCAGGCCCTGCTTTTGTTGAGTGAGACTTCTCTAAGGAGGTGATGCTTGAGGCCTGAATAACGATAAGGACCGAGCCTGTTGAAGAGTTAGGAGTTGGTACTTTCTCAGCAAAGGAAACAAGCAAGTACAAGGCTGAGAAGGGAGGAAAGGACTTGGCATGTTCCAGAAACTGAAAACATCAGTGTGGCTTGAGCCATAAAGAAAGTGGGATGCCCGAAGTTGGAAGGGCGGGCAGGGACCACATTACTCAGTCTCAGAGGCCAAAGATGGCTTGGACTGCTGTGAGGAGAATGGGAGTGTGGGCATAAAGTTGGAAGGACAGAGACCACTCAGAAGACTCCTCTGCTCCAGATGAGATGTGCTGGTGACCTGGACTAACAGGGTGGCAGTGGACTTGTAAGAATTATACAGGTTGGAGATAGAATTGTCAGGATATGGTAATGATGAGATGTGGGGAGACAAGAGAAAGGAGAACATCAGGGATGGTGCCTGGTGGTTTTTGGTTTTTGGTTTTGTTTGTTTTTCTTGAGTAAACGGGAAGTTTAGGGGTCTATTAATACGAAAGGATTGTCAGGTTGAAGGGCAAATCAAGCACTCTGTTTTGAACTGGTTACGTTTGAAAGAACTACACAACATTCAAGTGGCAGTTGTTGGGTGGGTGGGTTAACGTACTTCTCTCGTGGTGCTGTATGTTGTATGTCTCTGATTCAAATTATTTGGGGAGCTGGGCAACACCCAGTTCATCTTTGTATCCCCTACTCTGCCTTGCACACGGGCACTGATAAACATATGCTGGATACATATGGTATCCAGGTAGGAACGTAAACCTCCACTGAAGATCTGTCGTGCCTGGCACTCTACTGGGCAGGGTAGGGTGCTACCATGAAGGGAGAGTGGGTTTTAAACCCTTTGCTTTGCGCTGTCGTATTAGAAGTGGATTGCCATGTGGGCAGAAATGACCGACAACCACAACTCATTGTATCTCACTCAGGGTACATTAGAATCAGCTGGGTTGCTGGCTTAAAAATGCAGATTGTTGGAAGTGAGGAAATCTCCTAGTATCAAGTCCCCCAGGTGATACTAATGCATGCTTACACTGAGAAGCACTGAGCTCGTTTTGCCCAGACCTGTGTGGGCATTGAAGGGGCCCAACTCCTTACCTGCTCTATGTTCTTAACCTCCTTCAATTCTTTTCTTTAAACAGAGACTCCTATTGCCTTATTAATTTTTTTTTTTTATCTAACCAGTGGTATCAGCGACTTGAGCCCACATCTTTCCTCTGCTTCTTTAGGACAGAATTGGGCTTTGTATTTGAAGGGTTTTTTGGGCCTGGATTCATGTTTTTTTCCCTTGTTCTGTTTTGCAGTCCCATGAGCGTGTTAGCAAGCGGCTACATCAGAGGTTCCAGGCCTGGGTAGATAAATGGACCAAGGAGCATGTGCCCCGTGAAATGGCAGCGGAGACCAGCAAGTGGCTCATGGGTGAGGGGCTGGAGGGCCTGGTGCCCTGTACCACCACCTGTGACACAGAGACCCTGCACTTCGTGAGCATTAACAAGTACCGTGTCAAATACGGCACAGTATTTAAAGCCCCATAACTGCAAAGCCAGAGCAGATAACTTGAGGGGGGTGGTGTGTGTGAGGGCATGTGCCCTCACACATACTGAAGAAACAAGGAAGATGCCTTTCAAGCCTCACTGGGCCTCTCTGGGACATGGCCACCTGATCTGTGTGTGGCTGGTGCAACCTGGCACCAAGTGGGCTATATATAAGGAACGTGGATACCTTACAAAGCTGGAGCTGGAACTTTTCCCAAAGGGTTTTGGGTGTTAGCCTGCCCTGGAGGGGGAAGGAAATGCATGCAAGCATGGAGACATGTAGCTTGCTTGCACACACCAGCAGAGCTAGGACTGGAGTCTCCTAGGGCCTGACCTTCAATGAGGGAAGCGGATGCTGTTCACATTTTGACTGGATGGGCGTGCATTGACAGACTGGAGAAGGACTCAACGCTCAGATGGATTGTAACTCGGACAGTCACTGCTCCTCTCCTGTCCCCCCAAGAGGAAAAAAACTGGATTTGATTTTTTTTTTCCCCCTGGTCACGCGAGCACATCTAGATCACCCATTAGGTTTTCTCTGGGACCTGCAGTTTGGCTTTGGGATTAACATCTTGTGGATTTGATTCCTGATGAGTCCTTGCTGCCTACCCTTTACTCTCTCCTCTGGTTCTCAACCTCAACATGTTCAAATGAGTCGTCCTTTTTAGCTCCCGTGGAACTGTTTTGTACCTGCTTCTTTACTAGTCTACCCTAGTGCCATCCACCAGCTTTACTCTCTGACACACACACACAATTTTAACTTGGTTTTTCTTTTTTTTGTAAATAATGTACATACTGTCAATTTTTTATTAAAAGAAATATGCTTTGATGTGCTAGCATAACTGCTCTAGCTTCTTGTGTACCATAGTTCTCTGTGGCTTCAGATTTAGTACCTATGAACAGATGTACAAGACATTTATTACACTTTTTACCAAAGGGAGTTACCATTGTAGTACTTTTGTGAAAAACTTGTCTTCCCCCTTGCCCCAACTTTTTCTTTTTTTTTTGTAAATAAATAAAGCTTGGTTCTTACTTAAGGAATAAACTCTGAGCCCACGTCCCCTGCCCTCGGCAGAGCCCTGTGGTGAAGCAGGGTTTGGGCTTCACTTCCTCATCCACGGCACAAACAGGACTTTGCTTCAGTTAGCAATCAGTTGCACTTGCCCAAGTCAAAAAGTCCAAATTTTTAAAATAGAATACTTCATTATTTTAGTACTTTTTTTGCCTTTATTTCAACTGTTTGGAAATATTTTATATTCGGGTAAGTTGTTCAGCTATGTAGTTTTTATGTCTCTATTTTTTCTTACCCTTCTTGTAAATGGGGGTGAACAACTTAAATACCAAATCAGTATTTAAAAGAAGTGTATGTAAGGTGTGTGGTATAAATGGAGTTGGGAGGGAGAAGATTTGACGCATTTCATTAGCAACCACAAATGGAATGTGTGTGTATATATATAAATATTTTTTAATGACATAAATTTAAACTGGCAGGCATTTAAACATGAGTGATTAGGATTTTTATATGTGGTCAGCCTGGACTTTCTGAACAAAGACCACCTGAGCCCCTCCTAGTACTCTGGTGGGTTTTTTTTTCAGCAACCATTACCCTAGTCATAGTTGTAAAGTAACCAGCAGTATTTTGTGTGGTTTTGTTTGCTTTTTAATTAAAAGTCGCCACCACTACCACCAAAAAACCAGAAATTGTCTTCTGGACTTTTAGAAACACACACAGACTTCTCTGATTTTAGACTGTTTGTTGCTGGAGGGTGGGTAGATGAGGGCGATCCAGGCCAGGAGACTGAGTCCAAAAGAGCCTTGTGGGAGGAGATCCTGGGATGAATCGTGGGCAGTGCCTGACTTTGGGGGTAGAGTGCTACATACTGTTTGGGGGGAAGATCTCAGGTTTTCCTAGCAATAACTCACCTAATCCTCCGTGCTTGTTCAAGAAAGATCTTGTTGACTTGGAATTACGGGGGAGATTTATGGGGCCTGACCAGGGGCAGCCCCAGCTGTTGCTGTATCTGCACAGGGTTATGTCCAGAGTAGTTATGCTTGCAGGGCAGGAGGAAAACCCAACCCACCAGTGCAACCAAAAAGCGGGGGGAGCTTCCCCTACAGCCAGGATTTTCACAAGCAGCATTTTTATCCCTCCTGCCTTCTGACATCTGAGCTCCAAGCTCTAAACCCAGCCTGTATTATAGAAGCAAGTTACCTTTATTTTAACTTACATTTGGTATTCTGTACTTAGTCACCTTTCCATGTGATTTGCAATGAAATGTTGTAAACTTGACTTGGTCAGTATTTCCATTAAAATATCAGGGCTAATGTTGTGTATATATTTTTCTTCCTGATGATTTTATAGACAAGGACTCCCTGGCAATCCTAGCAGGGAAGAAAAGCAGCCAATGGACTATAAGGGTAATGTGAGACTGAAATCGGTGGTGTTTCTGGCATTATGGCGTCTCCAAACTCTTCAGTCTTGTGTGGTGAAATGTTATTCTCTTAGGATCTTGAATGCTATGCTGTGATCTGCCATCTCAAAACAAAATCTTTCCAGAGTTTCTGGTGATGTGCGACAATTAGGTACACACTTAAAATACATTGTAGAGGAAGCAGGTTACTAGATGCAAAGCCCTCTCTATTTATCACTGTGTCTGCCGATCAGTTTGGAAGCACCGCTCCCTGGCGCTCTTTCCATGTTAAGCAGAGAGGTTTTTGGAGGTAGTCAGATCCAGAGGTCGGGCTGAGACTGGAGGGCAAGGGGGTACCCGCTGCGTGCTTCTGAGGCTGGGTGACCTGCGTTTGCAGCAGCCGAGGCTTCTGCCCGTCGTGTCTAATATTCCTCTGTCTCTGGCCCGGGCCTTTCGGAGAATCTAAGCGTCCAACTTCCCATTTTATGTAGGGATTTGCCCAGTGGCCACCAGCTCGGACAAGATAGAGGAAGACCTCCGCAGCGCGGCTTTTAGCTTTCAGCTCCCTGCTCAAAGTTCACAGCGGCGGAGTTTCAGAGAGCCGCTGGTGTTCCAAGAAAAGCTGCCCGGGGCTGGAAGGCGCCGGAACCTTTGGTTCCAGGCCGTGGACCGCGCCGGCAGCGCCGGCGGCCTTCCGGGGAGAAGAGCGGGCGCCCGGCGATGGCAATGGCGGCGGCGCCGGCGCTGAAGCACTGGCGCACTACGCTGGAGCGGGTGGAGAAATTCGTGTCGCCGCTCTACTTTACCGACTGTAACCTCCGCGGCAGGTGTGGCCCTCACGCCTGGGGCGCCAGCGGGCCGCATTCGCGCGCCTCAGCCTTCCTTTCCGGGGGGAAACTCAAGCTGCGGCCACCAGGGCTGAGGGACAGAGTGCCCGCGGCGGACAGGCCAGGGGCCCGAGAGGAGGGGTTGGGGGGGTGCTGTGGTGTGGGGCGGCCCTCTCGGCGGTGGATCAAGGGAACGTGTGTCCCCACCCGCCGGCTGGCCTACGGGCGGAAAGGGGGCGGCTTCGAGCGTGCCCACCGGCCCCTCCCACCCAGGCTCTTCGGGGACAGCTGCCCGGTGGCCGCGCTCTCCAGTTTCTTGACGCCGGAGAGGCTTCCCTACCAGGAGGCCGTCCAGCAAGACTTCCGCCCCGCGCAGGTCGGCGACAGCTTCGGACCCACGTGGGTAACGCTCAGAGGGAGGGCGGAGCCAGCGGGCCAAAGGGAGGGTCACCCTCCCGGCTTGCTCACATCCCCGAGGGCCACACCTCCAATGTCGGCCCTCTGCCCTGGACCTAAGCCTCTTGGGGCAGAGCAGCACCCTCTGCTGGGAACAGCTCCCTGGTCCCTCAGTCTTCATGGGAGTTTTCATTCCCCCACTCTCCCAGTCCCTGGACTCCCCTTAGGAAGGACACTCTAGGACGGATCACGGACCCCTGACAACTGTGCCTCTTTTCCTCACCTTGCTGCACATCCCGTTACTCCTATCTTGTGGATCAAAGCCGAATGTCTTGTGATGCTGCAGATGCTTGGAGAAAGTCTCAAGCCCCTGCTAACCTTTAATCCAAGGAAATATGTCAAAAGGACAGAGCTTCAATCCCTAGGCCCATCTCAGTGGCTCTCTTGCAGATGGTGGACCTGTTGGTTCCGAGTGGAGCTGACTATCCCGGAAGCATGGGTGGGTCAGGAAGTTCACCTTCGCTGGGAAAGTGATGGAGAAGGCCTGGTGTGGCGCGATGGGGAACCTGTCCAGGTGAGGAGCCCTCTCCTAGGGACAGGTATGGTCGCATTTCAGCCCTGGTCTCTGGAGAAGCCACAGCTGAGTGGTTCTGCCTCAGGGTGGTATCAGAATTTCAGGAAATGGGGAAGTTGCCGCTTGGGCCCCTGTATAACTGGTCCCTCTCATACTGGGACGTCAAATGGATAGCTGATGAGTCTCAACGTAATTTGTGCTAGACCAGCCCTGCCACTGACTGACCACATTACCATTCTGGGCTGGAAATAGTTACTAATCAAATATAGTAATATTGAGTACAACAGATGCATTTATTAACTCTACTAGGTGCCAGGTGCCAGACTAGTGGCTTTGCAGGACATATCACTTTTTATTTTTAGTTCTTAATAAACTAAGTTTTATTATATGTAATATATGCTTATAGGGGGAAACTTTCAAACAGTTCTGGATAATATAAAGTAAAAATTTGGGGCTGGCCCGATGGTGCAGCGGTTAAGTTCGCACGTTCTGCTTCGGTGGCTCGGGGTTTGCTGGTTTGGATCCCAGGTGCAGACATGGCACCGCTTGGCAAGCCATGCTGTGGCAGGCGTCCCACATATAAAGTAAAGGCAGATGGGCACGGATGTTAGCTCAGGACCAGTTTTCCTCAGCAAAAAGACGAGGATTGGCAGCAGATGTTAGCTCAGGGCTAATCTTCCTCAAAAAAAAAAAAGTAAAAATTTAGGTCCTCTTCCCCTGAAGGAATGGATCTCTCCTTACCGCCTCAACCCCAATTCTCCAGATATAACCACTATTAAATGTCTTGTTTATCTATCCAACTATATCACATTTAATCTTTTTAATCCTATATGGTGAGTCTTTACGCCCATTTACAGATTAAGAAACTGAGTTATGTAGAGGTTAGTTCACTTGCTCAGGTTCACACAGCTTCCATTCCAATTGGACTAACTCACAGTCTCAGGTTAGGACTGTTCCTCCTGTATGGACAGATGGCAACCCCCTCCCTCCCTCATTAGCCCCCTCCCTCCCTTGGCTCAGCAAATGTCTCCTGAGTGCCCTGTACTAAGCACTGAGGACAAAGCAGAGAATGAGGCCAACTTGTCCCTGACTTGACTTCATAGAGTTTCCCTTCAGATACTTATTCAGGGGTACAGAGTTCACCAGAAGCCACACCCAGATCTCCTGATGCCTGCCCAAGACCCTTCCCATAAGACCAGAGGCTTTTCTGCTGATAAACAGGTGCCATTTGGTGGTCATGGCACTGGCTGCCAGGGGGTTGGGGCCCTGCTTCCAGGGTTCCCTGATTTGTCAATCTTGCCCTTGCCTGGGAGAGAGGAGCCAGAGCTGGGGACCCAGAGTATAAGCCTCCCTCAGCTTATACTTCACCTGAACTGTCCAAAAGCCTCAGGCCTTGTGTTTTTCACTCCATTCCCCACCAGGGTTTGACCAAAGAGGGGGAGAAGACCAGCTATGTCCTGACTGACAGGCTGGGGGAAGGAGACCCCCGGAGGTGAGTGAGTCCCTGTGCCCTGGTTGACCAGTGCTGTGGGGGAGGGGGCACCAGTGGGTGAAGAGGAGCTGAGGCCCAGAGTGATCTCAGAAACATACCCACCTTGAACACAACCATCCTCAAATCTCATAGTTTGTTTTTTAAAAGCAGGATTTTTTTTTCCTGACATAAAAATAATATTTGCCTTCTTGTGGTGAATACAGAAAAGCACAAAGAAGTAAACAGCTCCCATTATCCCACCACCTAGAGATGACTATTATTAACATCTCATCATTCATCTCAGGAATTCTTTCAGGTGTAGTTTTTACTAGTTGAGGTTGTATTTCTTTGCTATTTTGCATTCTAATTTTTTTGATTCTATATTATAACATGCGCATTTTATGACATCATTAAAAACTCCTCTTAGACATTATTTTACTTTATAATATTTATTGAACGCTGTGTGCCCAATGCTTCCAGACACCAGGAGTATGATGGTGAGTATGTGGTCTTTGACATCAAGGGAGACTCATATATGCTTATATAATTACAAAACTGGGGCCGGCCCTGTGGCCAAGTGGTTAAGTGCACGAGCTCTGCTTTGGCGGCCCAGGGTTTTGCCGGTTGGATCCTGGGCGTGGACGTGGCACTGCTCATCAGGCCATGCTGAGGTGGCATCCCACATAGCGCAACCAGAAGGACCTACCACTAGAATATACAACTATGTACTGGGGGGTTTTGGCAAGAAGAAGGGGAAAGAAAAAAGAAGATTGGCAAGAGATGTTAGCTCAGGTGCCAATCTTTAAAAAAAAAAATTACAAAACTGATGAGGGCTCTGAAAGAAAACACTAGGAGCTCGATATGAGAAATCTGTTCCAGACTTGGGAGAGGGGTAAGAGGAGGGTCAGGGAAGGCTTCCCCAAGGAAGTCACGTTTGCTCTCTGACGACTGAGTAGAAGAGCACACAGCCCACATGCTGCTCCAAGGAGTGGCCTGCCCTGTGTTGGCTGATGGATCTTTCTCTGAAAGGTTGGACCTTGGAGATCCAAACATGTTTATAATATGCAAACAGGGTTCTGAGACCAGGTCAGTGCTTTGTAAAGACAGCTTTTGCAAATAAAAGGCTAAATAGCAGCATAATTCACACGGTTCCAAACTTGGCTACTTATTCTCCCTGACCGAGGTAGAATGCTCATCCACAGAACATGCCTTCAGTCTGGTGTTTCTACCGTGATCTTCTCACACATGCACCTGAGGCACTGCAGTGGGATACTCTGGGTGGTGGATCCTGGAGGCGAATGGAGAGGGGTCAGCTAGTTGCCTCCTTGGTCCTCTCACTCTAAGCCCCCAGAGTCCTCTGCCAGTCCCTTGACTTGAGGCTGCTCCCCACATTTGTAGCATGACCCTCTATGTGGAAGTAGCCTGCAATGGCCTCCTGGGGGCCGGTAAGGGAACCATGATTGCAGCCCCTGACCCAGAGAAGATGTTCCAAGTGAGCCGGGCTGAGCTGGCCGTGTTCCACCAAGATGTCCACAAGCTCTTGGTGGATCTGGAGCTGCTGCTGGGCATGGCCAAGGTACTGGACACCCCCACCCCACCCGGTCACTTTCCAGAGCCCTGCTGCAGAGAGATTGTTTCTTGGGTCAGATAGTTTGGACTCTGGGGATCCAGAATAGTGAGTGTTTCTGCCTGCCTGAGTGTTGAGAGGATTTCCCTATGTGAAAGGGAGGAGGTAGACAGTACTGAGCAGGGGGACCAGCAGGAGCAAAAGGTTGGAGGTGGGGAGGAGCTCTGCTGAGAACCCTTGAGAGATCAGCCAGGGCCTAGTTTTGTAGACTCTGCTTGCTCGAGACAGGGATTAAGGGGCAGAACCCTCCTGCAGGGCCTCGGGGAAGACAACCAGCGCAGCTTCCAGGCCCTATACACAGCCAACCAGATCGTGAACGTGTGTGACCCTGCCCAGCCTGAGACCTTCCCAGTGGCCCAGGCCCTGGCCTCCAAGTTCTTTGGCCAACGTGGAGGTGAAAGCCAACATACCATCCACGCCATGGGGCACTGTCACATTGATACAGGTAGGGCAGCAGCTGGCCAGGTTAGCTGGGGGAGGCAGGAGTGCCCTTGAAGCCCTGGCTGTGCCCTGGAAGCACTGTGTGATCCTCAGCAAGTTCTTGCTCCTCTTGGACCTCAGTTTTCCCCATGTGTAAAATGGGGCAAGGGGACTGGACTGTGGGCTTTGCTAGGTGTGGCTTCATTTATTCTTTCAACAGAATCTGATGCCCCATGTGGCCCCATGGTAGATAATAGAGGGTAGGATTATAGAGACTGATGATCACAAAATAGGCAGGCACAGTTGGTGCCACGATGGAGGGAAGTATAGGGGTCTGGAGAGCCCAGAAGAGGCGCTTAACCCAGCTGGGTCAGGGGGATTCAAGAGAGGCTTCATGGAGGAGGTGACCTTTGAACTGAGTGCGGATAGAGTAAGAGTTTGACATGGGTGTCAAGTCCTCAGAGAAGAGTGACATGGGAGTTACTGAGATGGGAGCTCAAAGTGCAGGTGGAGGTTTCCTGGGGAGGATCAGGAGTTCAGATTTGAACCTGATGAGTTTGCAGTACCTATGAGGCTTATGGGAAATGCACATTTTTAACAAGCTCCCCAAGGTATTGAATCTGATGCAGCTAAAGTTTTTGAGCCACAAGAACAAGGGCTTTCTCTGATGTGCCAAGGCTGAGTGGGTAGGTTTGGGGGGAACTCCAGGCTGGTAAGGAAGGAACTGAGGCCTAGAGGTCAGGAGAGGCTATTGTGTCTCACTCAGGATGGCTGGCTCAGGCAGCCCCATCTGTTCTGGGATATGCATCGTGTGTGCAGGGGAAGAGTTAACCCCTGCTGCCTCTTACAGGATCTTCTCTGGAGATATCTAAACTTCAGGGTGAGGCTATTCCAGGGCCTGGGGCCTCCATCTGCTGAGCTGTAAAATTGACCTGATAGCCCTGTGGGTCTCCTTTCCCCACCCTCTCCTCCCACCTTGCAGGAGTGACTTGAAGTGACAGCTCTGGAGGGATGCCACGGGGCTTTACAGGGAAAAGGGCCTAGGATGGGAGGAAAGCTGGGATGACCCTCTGGAGGCCCAGGCTTGGCCTGGTTGGAGTGCTGGGAGGCAGGGGTGAGGTTGGAGATCTGTGAGGAGCTGGGGACCTTGCTGCTCACCCTCCACCCTTTATCTCCACCCTCTTCCCTGTCTAGCCTGGCTTTGGCCCTTCAAAGAAACTGTGCGGAAATGTGCCCGGAGCTGGGTGACAGCCGTGCAGCTGATGGAGCAGAACCCTGAGTTCATCTTTGTCTGCTCCCAGGTCAGAGGGACAGCTGTGTGGGGGCACCTGAAGCCCAACAGGTCTGAGGGTGAGGGTCCGAGGGCTTCTCAGGCCTGAGGGTCATGGCTCTGCCCTACCCTCAGCTGCCCACTGGGCCCCAGATACTCAGCCCTGGGTGGGGTCCTCATCACTCCTGGCCCAGCTCCCACCCCACCTGCCCCACAGGCACAGCAGCTCGAGTGGGTGAAGAGCCACTACCCTGGGCTGCATGCCCAGCTCCAGGAGTTCGCCTGCCGTGGGCAGTTTGTGCCTGTGGGGGGCACCTGGGTGGAGATGGTAAGTGCAGTCTGCACCCCCTCAGCCTCAGGCCATAGCGTCATGGCCTTCCCTCCTCAGTTTTGCCCTTTGCCTCCGTTTTGTGGCAGCCCTTATTAGTCCCTGGAATCCTAAGGCCTGGGATGCCAAGGGGGAAGAGGGTCTTAAGCATGTGACAGGCTATCTGCATGACCCAGTCCCGGGAACTTCCCCTCTGGCACACAGACAGTCCTGCCTGAAATAAGGAGATGGATACTGCCTTGGCACATGGCGGTAGCCCATGTCAGGCTTCTGGCTTCTCCTGATGGGGTGGGGTGGGCCTGAGTTCCTGCCTGTTCGCCGGCTGATGCTGACCCCGAGCACTTCCCTCTTCCCTCGTTGCCAGGATGGGAACCTTCCCAGTGGAGAGGCCATGGTGAGGCAGTTCCTGCAGGGCCAGAACTTCTTCCTGCAGGAGTTTGGGAAGATGTGCTCCGAGGTAGGCTGGGAGCTGCTGCACCTGTAGGCAGATGGGGCTGGAGCTTGTCGTGTGTGATGAGGGGCTAAGGCTGTGGCTGCTCTGCCAAGAGTCCTGGTTCCCATGCCCCAGAGGCCCTTTTCCCCACAGTTCTGGCTGCCAGATACGTTTGGCTACTCAGCGCAGCTCCCCCAGATCATGCGCAGCTGTGGCATCCGGCACTTCCTGACCCAAAAGCTGAGCTGGAACTTGGTGAACTCCTTTCCGGTAAGCAGGCCCCAGGGGGTCAGAGTCAGAGTGGGCCTGGGTCCCCACCTGGCCCATTCACCTTTCCCCAGGCTTATTGTGGGGTCCCGAACAGACCACCCAACCTCCCCCAGAGAGGACATGCCTCCCCCAGGGTCACACACCAGGCAGGGGCAGGTCTGGAGGGCTCAGTTCTGCCTCAGCCCTGGCTCTGGCCTCTCTCCTCTGCCCCTGTCTCCCTGACTGCAGCATCATACCTTTTTCTGGGAGGGGCTGGATGGCTCTCGTGTGCTGGCCCACTTCCCACCTGGTGACTCATATGGAATGCAGGGCAGTGTGGAGGAGGTGAGAGAGCACCTAGTAGCTGAGGTAGGGGGGTCAGGGTGGAGAGGCTGGGTATCCTGTCCTAGGCTGACCCATGCTGACCTGTCCCTGCCTGTCCAGGTGCTGAAGACCGTGACCAAAAATCAGGACAAAGGGCGGACCAACCACAGTGCTTTTCTCTTTGGCTTTGGGGATGGAGGTGGCGGCCCCACCCAGACCATGGTGGACCGCTTGAAGCGGCTGCGCAATACAGATGGGCTGCCCAGGTCAGGCTAGCCTGCCAGCAGCCCTCCGTGCTCACTCAGTCCTGCCCCCAGCCCTTGCCTTGAGCCCTTCTTTCTGCTCAGCCACTGGGCCCAATCCCTCCACTGGGCCTTCTTCTGCTCCAATCCTGGACCATGGGCTCCTCCCAACTTCTGCCTGGGGGTGGGGGTGGGGAAAAAGCTGAGCGTGGGAAGGGACCTAAACCTACCAGAGAGAGAACTCTCTTGGGGTGTCCAGAACTGGCTTTGTGTGGAAAGGGAGCTTTCTGGGGTGGCTCCTTTCTGTCGCGGCTGAATCTCTTGTCCACTCTGGCGTGGAGGAAGGGTGAGCCATGTGGCCCCTCAAGGCTGGGAGACCCAGGCCGATGGTATCCCTCAGAGTGCAGCTGTCTTCTCCGGGGCAACTCTTCTCAGCGCTGGAGAGCGACTCGGGGCAGCTGTGCACATGGGTCGGGGAGCTCTTCCTGGAGCTGCACAATGGCACCTATACCACCCATGCCCAGGTCAGGAACTGGTCGCCCAGCTGAGCAGGGAGGGTGTGCCCTTGATCTGCAGAGGGTCAGAGAAGGAAGCAGGGGTCAGAGCCTGCCCAGACCTGGGGAAGAGGCTTGTGTTCCAAGGAGGAGCTGAGAGGAGAGAAGTGCAAGAGCTGGGTGGGTCAGGAGCCTGGAGGAGCCAGGACTGAGGATCCCTGAAGGAGGAGGGGCTTGGAATGAGGGGAGAGGAGGAAGGCATTTGGGACAGGTCCCCCACGAGAAGCTTTAACCAGGAGGCCCTGAGGAACCATCAGGGGTTCTGAGGCAGGGAGGGCTTTGGAAGGTGTCCTGGGATGCTTGAACAGACTCTAGACTGATAACCCCCACCCTGGGCTCAGATCAAGAAGGGGAACCGGGAATGTGAGCGGATCCTGCACGACGTGGAGCTGCTCAGCAGCCTGGCCCTGGCCCGAAGTGCCCACTTCCTATACCCGGCAGCCCAGCTGCAGGACCTCTGGAGGTCAGCCCAGCTTCTGCCTCCTGCCACCCACCTGACCTCACCCCAGACACCTCTGTGGCTGCCCCTCCCAGCCTTCCTTCCTCCCACCCTCCTGGCCTTCCCCATCCCTGCCCTTCGCCCCTGCAGGCTCCTGCTCCTGAACCAGTTCCATGACGTGGTGACTGGAAGCTGCATCCAGCTGGTGGCGGAGGAAGCCATGTGCCACTATGAAGGTTAGGCTCATGACATTCCCATTGCTCTCTCTAACACCCAGGGCCGAGCCCAGGGTGTCCCCTGTGGGGGACTCAGGGGTCATCCCAGGCCCATTGCCCACCCATGACTGACTAGTCTTTCCTTAGACATCCGTTCCCATGGCAACACACTGCTCAGTGCTGCAGCCGCCGCCCTGTGTGCTGGAGAGCCAGGTCCCAAGGGCCTCCTCATTGTCAACACACTGCCCTGGAAGCGCACTGAAGTGTTGGCCCTGCCCAGGCCTGGCGGGGCCCACAGCCTAGGTATGAGCTGGGAGAAGGGCTGCCCTGCAGCAGGAGGGAGCAAGGCCAGACTGAGAGGTGGAGATACTTCCCTGGGGATCTTTGCCCTGGGGTGCCCCAGGCTGGAGAGTAGCATCCACTCTGGCTGGAGAGTAGTAGTAGTATCCACTCTCAATGCCCTCACCCCCCAAGCGAGGCTCATGGAAGGTCAGGGAGGCTGCACTGATGCCCAGGCCTCATTCCCAGCCCTGGTGACAGTACCCAGCATGGGCTATGCTCCTGCTCCTGCCCCCACCTCACTGCAGCCCCTGCTGCCCCAGCAGCCTGTGTTCGTGGTGCAAGAGGTAAGTACTGGCACATCCCATGGGGGCCAGGGGATGTCCTGGGCTGACCTTAACAACAGGGGAGTTCTGAGCTCCCTAGCCTGAAACAAGTGGTCAGGCAGGGCCGGGGCTGGGGTGGGGTGCTGTTGGTTGTGGAAAGACCCTGCAGACTCAGCTTCAAGGCCCCCTCCCACCAAGACTGATGGTTCTGTGACTCTGGACAACGGCATCATCCGGGTGAGGCTGGACCCGACTGGCTGCCTGACATCCCTGGTGCTGGTGGCCTCTGGCAGGTGCCAACCCCTCACTGCTGTGTCCCATGCCTGCCCTCTCCTGTGAATCCCAGACTCCATTCCCTTGTTCCCTGACTACAGCACTGCCCATAGGAGCCCACAGTGGTTCTTGGCTGGGACCAACTCATGGAACAGGGCAGGCTGGGCTAGGAGTCCCCCCTGTTCCTTGGGCCTCTCACCCTGCCCTACCCCACCTCAAGCAGCTGGAGAGACCAAGATCATCCAGTTATAAAGCACCAATCCCCATGTCCTTCCAGGGAGGCCATTGCTGAGGGCACTGTGGGGAACCAGTTTGTGCTGTTTGATGATGTCCCTCTGTACTGGGACGCATGGGACGTCATGGACTACCACCTAGAGACACGGTGCGGGTGGACAGGACTTGATGGTGGGGTGGGAATACAGGCCTATTGGGCTCCTCCATCAGCCTCCCCTGGCTCAGCACCTCCCACTCCTGTCCCACAGGAAGCCAGTGCTGGGCCAGGCAGGAACCTTGGCAGTGGGCACTGAGGGCGGCGTGCGGGGCAGCGCCTGGTTCCTGCTGCAGATCAGTGCCAACAGTCGGCTCAGCCAGGAGGTCGTGCTAGATGTTGGTTGCCCCTATGTCCGCTTCCACACTGAGGTAGCAGGGAGCAGGGCGGTAGGTATCTTCCCCAGGTGTCGCTGGTGAGGAGGGGCCAGCCCTAAGCCTGTGTGTGTCTTTGCCTCCCCTTGCCGCCCCCCCCACCTCCACCCCAGGTGCACTGGCATGAGGCCCACAAGTTCCTGAAGGTGGAGTTCCCTGCCCGTGTGCGGAGCCCCCAGGCCACCTATGAGGTCCAGTTCGGACATCTGCAGCGGCCCACCCACTACAACACCTCTTGGGACTGGGCTCGATTTGAGGTTTGACATCCAGTTAGGTAGGGGGTTTGGATCCTCCCTGGCTGGAGGAGACTAATTGGTGGTTAAGAGGTGAGGAGGAGGAGGATCAATATTTGCTGTTCCTAACATATGCCAGGCATTGTGCTAAATGCTTTGTTTAGTCTGATACTCAGACCCAGCTGGTGGGGTAAGTACTGGATCCCCATTTCACAGATGAGGAACTGAGGCTGAGACTGGTGGGTGGGGTGCCCAGGGCCTCCTATCCTGAAAGCTGGAGTTCAGCTCTGTCGTCCCAGAGCTTGCCCTCACTCTAGTGATAGGAGCTCTGGAGCACAGGAAGGAGGCAGGGCCCCCAAGGGGGTCTGGCTCTGCCCTGCAGGTGTGGGCGCACCGCTGGATGGATCTGTCAGAGCACGGCTTCGGGCTGGCCCTGCTCAACGACTCCAAGTACGGCGCGTCGGTGCGAGGCAGCGTCCTCAGCCTCTCACTGTGAGTGGGGTGCCCACTGGGGCTGGGGAGTGGCGTGGGGCGCGGGTCTTCCCGGGCCAGAACTACAGCAGCTCCAGCCTGGCCTGTACCACTCTCCCTACCCCAGCTTGCGGGCGCCTAAAGCCCCTGATGCCACTGCCGACATGGGGCGCCACGAGTTCACCTACGCGCTGATGCCCCACGAGGGTGAGCACCGTGCCCAGACGCCTCCGCCCTCTCTGAGCCTAGATTTCCAACAGTCAATGGGGAGAACTGCCGCAGTCCCGCTCCCCACCCCCATTTTCCACCACGCGTCCCTCTCTGGTCCGCGCCCAGGCTCCTTCCAGGACGCTGGCGTTATCCGCGCTGCCTACAGCGTCAACTTCCCCCTGCTGGCGCTGCCCACCCCCGGCCCTGCGCCCGCCGCCGCCTGGAGCGCCTTCTCCGTGTCCTCGCCCGCGGTGGTGTTGGAGACAGTCAAGCAGGCAAGGGGCGGGGCGCGCCGGGGGCGGGACCCCGGGCTGGGCCCGCCCACTTCCCTGCCCACCGCCCGCCTCCCTTTGCAGGCTGAGACCAGCCCCCAGGGCCGCACGCTGGTCCTGAGGCTGTACGAGGCCCACGGCAGCCACGTTGACTGCTGGCTGCACACGTCGCTGCCGGTTCAGGAGGCCGTCCTGTGAGTGGGGCACGGGGCGGGATGGGGGTGGGAGTGGGAGTCCTGCCCTCGCGGGGCCCTCATGGTACCCTCCTCTTCTTCAGCTGCGACCTCCTGGAGCGGCGCGACCCTGCTGGCCACCTGCCCCTTCGGGACGCCCGCCTAAAGCTCACCTTTTCTCCCTTCCAAGTGCGGTCCCTGTTGCTCGTGCTGCAGCCCCCACCGAATTGAGTCCCTGAGGGCGGGGTTTTGTTTGTGGAAGGCTTTGGGGGCTCCTCATTTCTGCCTCCCCAGCCTGAAGCAGGATGAGCCACCTCTTGAACAATAAATCCTTGGCTCAGGAACCCTGCTGGTAGCCCCTACTCACTCCCCTCAGCGCCCATCCTCAGGCTTTGAGGGCAGAAGGCTTTTTCCCAGGCATTTGAGGTAAGGGCTAAAATCTAAGGTTATCTGTGTGTGCAGGGTCTGGTTTGCAGCCCCCATGAGAGAGATGGGGGATACTGGTGACCACAGCTGGCTAAAAGACCACGAGCTAAGAAGCTCCTCCTCTTTGTCAGCAGGCAGGGGGCCTGGGGCTGGGTGGGTTCTGGCTTGCCCCCACTAGGAGAGGAGCACTGATTAGTCAGGGCCAGGCAGGGGGAGCAGCTACAGGCCCTGAGGAATCCCAGACTGCAGGAGCTATGGAGCCTGGACTGCCTGGGCCAGGGTCTATGCATGACCTCTGAGGGGCTGTCCCTGCAGAGGCAGACTGTCCTCTGAGAGCAATGGCCTTGAGGACTGGGATGGGGCTCAGTTTGCCTTGCTGAGGAGATGGACTTCCCAACTTGGCCATCCCAGACCTTTTCTGCAGCCAGCCCAAGAAGTGCCAAGAAGTTCAAGTTTATCAGTTTATAAAAAATACAGCATTTTTCACATCAGCTTTAAAAATGGGGAAGGTGGGGTACAATTAAAAACATCATAGTTAGTTGTGCAGGGAACAGCCATAGGGCCAGGGTCATCCAGCCCCCTTCAACCACTACCTGCTTCCAGGAAACCACACAGGCTCCCAGATGCAGCGCAAGGCAGTGGGAAGGGTGGATGCAAGCAAAGAGACCCTCCTGCTAAGAGGCAGAAGTCCCTTCAGGCTCCAAGGGTGGGGTGTCAGGCTTCATCTTTGGGGTCTGTGGTGTCTAGGAGGGGACAGGTGAGGTGGCAGCTCAGACCCCAGGCTAAGGACTGCCCAGACAGCCTTCCGGGATCCCACCTTTGTCCACACATTCCTTCCACCTACACTGCCATCCCTTCTTCTCCTGGAGAGCCCATTTCAGTGGTGCCCTTTCCCTCTCCAGAGGAGGATGCTGAGGAAGGCCCACCTGAGAGTACTGGTTGCCCCCTCCTCTTCGCTTTTCAGTGACTGGAGGGGCTTCTGGGTCCTGTTGGAGGCTAGTCCCCTTGGGCTGCTGGGCTGTAGTTTGCTCAGGGAGGCCTCTCCGTGCCCTTCGTGTCCTAGAAGGGGCCTTGCTTGGGGGTGGAGGGTCCTGGGTGGAGGAGAGACAGGTCAATGAGGGGCTCAGAGAGCAGTTCAGAGGTTGGTTAGGACCCACTATTGCCCCCCACTGTCAATGGAAGGCAGCTGCCCAAACGCCTGGCCTGGGAGGTGCAGCCAGGGCAGGGGACAGTGCAGGGAAGAGGGAGGAGCAGGGAGCCATACCTCCGTTCTGTCCTCAGGACCCTGCTGCAGTCCCTTGGATTTCTTCTTGTGGGACTTTCCCCCTGCAGGACACTGACACTGGAGTGCAGGGTCCTATGGCCTTGGCCCCATTTCTCCAGACTCCCCCCTCCCACTCTGGGTGACTCCAGGGTTGGGGTAGGGACTGGGAGAAGGGTGCTGTAGCCTTGCAGGCAGCTAGTCCTTTCTGCTCTCTTAGCTTATTACATTAGAAGTAGCTTACCTTTGGGTGCCAGAGGTCCAGGATCCCCCTAAAATGGAATGAGGAGAATTCTGGAATCAACCTGGTTGGGGTAGGATAGTTTTCCTTGGAGAGGCAGCACTCAAACCTATCCATCCAGATCAGTGTAGCTCCTCCCTTAGGAAGCCGCTCTGCCTGCCCCCACCCCCTGCCAGGTCAGAGCCAACATCAACAAGTCCCCCCTGCCATGGGCTGCTCCTCTAGCTGGAACCCTGGGACTCAGGAGGGAGGGCAGCATAGGGAAGGGACAGTGTGACCCCCGGGAGACTCCAGCTCCTGCCCTGCTGTGACCCAGGCCTTTCCACCCTGTGTGAGCACGAGGGCCCAAACCTGGAACCAGATGGTGCGGCCATGCCGGTCCTGGAGGGAGCTCATGCCTGGCATGCCATAGCACCGCAGCCAGGCTCGAAAGGCAGCAAAGTCCTCCTCCCCGATCTCCGGCCCGTAGCCTTTGCCCCCTGTGGGACAGAGGAACCAGGCAGAGATCAGAGGGCTGACTCAGGTTGAGAGGAGGGGGAGCCAGTAAGACCTGGCCCAGACCTCAGCTATACAAGCTGATGGACTGAGTCAGGGGTCCAAGGCTCTCCCTTCTCCAGCTGTGTGACCTCAGGCCGGTGTCTTCCCCACTCTGGGCCATGGCTTTCCCATCCTGGAGTGGGGTTAAGAATCCCTGCCCTGCCTGCCTCATGGGCAGCTTAGAGGACATACACACCTGACAAGTGAGGAGGTCTAGTCCATTTAGCAACAACTATGTCTAGAAACTTCCCTTCACCAGGAGGGGAACTAGGCCCAGAGAGGGGCAGGAACTGTCCCAGGTTACACAACATGCTGAGGCAGAGGTGGTTGGCCATCTTTGCCTCCCGGGCCTCACCCAACTGGACCACTTCCTTGGACACTGAGTGGCACAACTCCAGCAGGTCTGGGTTCTGCAGCTTGGCCCTGATCTTCTGGCTCAGGGTCAGCGCCGGGCTCTGGAGAAGGGGCAGGGGTAGGACCTGGTTTTCAGCATGAGGCAGGGTCACCCAGAAGGCAGCTGACCCTCTAGGGTACAGACCCAACCCCCTCTGAGCCTGGCAGGACTCAGAGATGGTTCATTCACCACCCCCCGTCCCCCCTGCCCCCCCCCCCCCCACAGTATTGTAAAGAAGGGGAAACTGAGGCCCAAAGCCCAGAATGGACTTGCTTGAGCTAAGCTGGAGACACCTGACCCAGCCCGTACCCTTGTTGTTGGCCTGCACTGACAGGTGTGTGCACATCCCCCCCTGCACCCTCACCGGCCTGCGCTGCTGCAGCGCCTCCAGAACCGTGCGGGCCTTCTCAAAGGGGGGTATCCTCAGCCTGCCATGGGGTGGACAGAGGGAGCCATGCTAAGCAGTGGGGAATGTGGGCACACCCAGCCCACCCCAGCCCTCGTGCCCATGGCCTGCCTGCTGACCGGTACAGGATCTCTGCCCGCAGATAGTTGCCAATGCCATTGAAGAACCTCTGGTCCAACAGGGCCTCGCAGATGGGCCGGTCAAAGGCCTTGTCAGCTAGGTTTTGTAATACATTCTCCCTGGAGGGACATAGCCATGGGGCACATGAGACCCATTCTGCCCACCCCCTGAAGGGACGGAGGCCTAGGAGGGGCTGGGACTCACCCCTCAATGGCCAACAGAGGCACTAACAGAGCCAGGCCCAGAGACCAGTATTGCATTCATCACACCTGGTGTTGGCCCTACCTGAACTGCTCGTACTCCAGCAAGACACATGGCCCGCGGCCTGGCTGCCACTCGCCCCCGAGGTCCCAGTGGCCGAAGCGGCGGATGTCCACAAAGCAGAGGGCAAGTCGGGGGCCAGGTGGAGCTGTGTAAAAGCGCAGATGGGCATGCGGTGGCAGCATATCCCTGGGTACCAGCTGGAAGGAGCCAGACATGCCAAAGCGGAAGACGAGGGCCAAGGGCTCCTGTGGGGGCTGGGCCCCAGGCAGGGGGCTCAGTGTCAGGCGCAGCTCCTTGCCACGGGCTGAGGCTGAGATGCGGTAGGCACTGCTCTCAAAGGGCACCTCAGGGTTGCGGCTGATGGGTGACTTCTCCACACACCCACCAAACACCAGCCCTCCACATGCCTCGTTCACAAAGCGGCTGGCCAGATGCAGCTCAGGGCCCTCAGGCATTCTGTGGGAGGGGTGGCCAGGCCCTGTTGGGGGTGGATGACAGCAGGTTGGGCCAGGTATGTACCTTGTGAGAGAAGAATTACCATCCCCATTTTACAGAGGAGAACCCTGAGGGTCAGAAGGAGCCATGGCCAGCTAGAGTTGGCAGGAAGGTCAGCTGGCGTGGCCACAGCCCCTGACCCCCAACTGAAAATGCTGGGAAAGCTCAGGGCACTGGGGAACTGTGACTCTGCCTTGATCATTAATACCTTCGAAGGGCTTCCAAGAATGTGTGCTGCTTTTAGAAGAAAGTCCAGATCCTTCCTGGGCCCACACTGTCATCTCATATCTTCCCAGGCTCCCCCTCATTCACTTGCTCCAAACACACTGCTCTTCTTCCCATCCCCATGACTTTGCCCCTGCTGTCCCCTCAGTCTGGGAACACTTGAGAGAGGCCCTCCCTGACCACCCTATCCAAGGTAGCATCCCTCCCCACACACACCTTTTCTTTCCCTCGTGGTATTCCCAGGACCTGAAGTTATCTATCTGCCTTTACCTCCACTCCCACCCCAGAGTGGACGCCCTGCTTGTTCACCACCAGACCGCTTAGAACCAGGCCTGCTTGTTGCCACCACGTGCGACAGTGAACCTGACCCTGCCTGGGAGCTGGGAGCAGGGAAAACTAATGCTCAGAGGCTCAGCCACAAGCCACTGGTCCAACCAGAGCCAGGACAAGGAGGAGGGAATGCAGGGGTCTCCAGGTACATCTGTGCTGGAGCCAGGTCCGCACGGCTCCGAGGCAGGAGAACAGAGGGGCCAAGAAGGGCTCCCTGAGCTCCAGGCTATGGGGCGGGGGGGGGGGGGGGGGGGGGGGGGGGGGGAATGGGGGAAATGGTAGGAAATGCCCAAGTCGGCGCCTCCATCCGAGGTTAGCATACTTCGCCTCCTCACCTGGTGGAGGCGGGTAGTTTGTCACTTTCCTCTTCCCCCAGGACGTTGTGAGATCGAAGGTGAAGGTGTGTGTCGGGCAGAGGGGGGCATTTAACTTGGGCCGACTCCTTTACTCCCCTGCCCCACCTCAGCGCCGCCTGGGGCCTGGCACCCGCAAGGGGTTTGTTTTGCCGGAAAGGTGAAAGTCTAGATTTCTAATTTCTCAAAGGGCGGGCGCTTGGTGGCTCGCTTCCTGGCCCCCGCCCCTCAGCCCCGTCGCCCGTCCCGGGTTAATACTGGCTCCCTTCCTCCCCAAGGCCCCCTAATCCCATCCTCTCCTCAGCTCTGCTGCACACTGCTTCACTGCCCGTCCCCGCCGCAGGGTACCTGCGCCCGGCGCTGCTCTGGGCCAGCCGGCAGCCACTCAGGGATGGTGCCAGGGTGGGAGTGCGCTAAGAGCATGCTGGGAACTGTGGTTGCTCCTCCAGGGCCTACTGGGAAGTGTAGTTCTTCACTCAGGTGGTAGGGTCTGTTCGGGGTGGGCCCCCGAGCTAGGGGGTCTGGGGTATGGCAAAGGCTTTGGGGCAGTGACCTGTCTGGGAAGTGGTGGAGGAACCTGGCTTCCTGCTGCCCGGCGCTGGTGTGATGTGGAGTCAGGTCTGAGGTCCTGGGTTGCAGCTGTCTGCGTGGTTGGGAGAAGTCACTTGGCTAGTCCGGGACAGGGTAGGCACTGCCAGCAGGAAACACTGGCAACCTCTCAATGCAGAGGCACCTGCAGATGTGCGCAGGGAGCGCACTTGAGACCCGGTGGTGGTGCTAAGTATCCACGCACAGTCAGGCATAACATACAAACAGAATCATCACCACCACCTGCCGGTGGGAAGTGCAGCCAAGCAACAAAAAACAGGCTCGGAAGCAGAACCCACTTCAGGTGTTTCTGTGGGGGAGGGTCTCTCTGCAATGACATTTAGGCTAAGACTTCAGAAGGAGCCAGCTGGCAAAGAGTGGGGACAAGACAACATGCCAGCTGGAAGGGACAGCCAGTGCAAAGGCCTGGAGGTAGGTCACCGATTGGCCCACTGAAAGAAGGCCTGTGTGGCTGGAGTGTACCTCGGGGTGTGCTGGGGCCTGAAGATGTTACCACACAAAGGTGGCATAGAAAGGGCATTTTATTACAGCTTGCTAGCAAGAGGGACGATGGCTGACTAATGTCCAAAAGAACCATCTCAAGGGGGGAACAGAATCTTGAAGCAGTTATATAGGCCAGTGGGTTACAGGAGAAGGGGTTAGAAATGTTGACCCAGGAGTTGCCACACTGGATCTTTCACTTTTCATTGATAATGGCTATCAGCGTAGACTCTCTGTTCGGGGGTCATCACATTCCTAAGGAACTCAAAAGAATGAAGTTATCATCTTATCGCCCCTGGGAGGTATATGCACAAGCAGAGGTCATAACATCTACAGAGCAGGTGGGTCTCCTGGCCGGTGCATATCCAGCTGGGTTAGTTAGTCAGAGATCCTTCAAAGTTACAATATGGTTTCTTTTCTACAATAGGGTTTCCCTTATGTCAACCTTGTATTCAGCCAGTATCAAAGACACACAACCAAGGTCAGGTCTGGGCAGGCTCGGCAGGCCTCTGTAAGGTGTCTGCATGTCATTGTCAGTGTAGCAGGCCTGGTGCCTGACCCGTAGCCATAATTTGCCCCTTCGTACTACTTCTGCTTCCTCCCTGCTTTGTCTATCTATTCATTTATTTTGGCAGGAGTATTTTTAGGTAAATTAGACAAATTATGATATTTCATCCCTAATCTGTTACCATGCATCTCTGAAAAGCAATTTCCTACAAAGCCATGATACCTTTATCATACCTAATAAAGTTAATAATTTTTTAATGTCATCTAACACCTAGTCCACATTCAGAACACAGAAGAGGGAGCGCTACTTGGGAAATCAAGCTAAATTTCCCTCATTGTCCCCAAAATGTCTTTTATAGCTGGCTTGTTCAAGGTATAGTCCAATCAAGGATTATATGTCTCTCAAATAATTTTTAATCTAGATGGAATTACCCCAACCCACTTCGCCCCCTTTTTTTTGGTTTTCATACCGTTCTGAAGAGTCCGAGCCAGCTGCCCTTTGAGATGCCCGATCACATTCTGGATTGGCTGAATGTTTCCTCAGGTGGTGTTAACTTGTTCCTCTGTCTGTAGTTTCTCCTGGACACTGGGAATCAGATCTGAATACCTGGCTATGTATCTTCAAGGATACCTCCTACGTGCTGCTCTGCACTCCAAATTGCATCACATTAGGAGGCGCCTAGCATCTGGTTGTCCCACTTTAGTGAGGCTGAAATTGATCATGGATAGGGCTGTGGCAGCCAGACCTCTGTGTTGTAAAGGTATGTTTCACACCTTGTGACCACTAAGTAATCTATGGGGTGACTTTGTTTTGCTGGTCTCCTGTTGTTTGTTTAAATTAAGAAATAATTTACATATAGTGAAATTTAGCCTTTTTAGAGTGCGAGTTTTGACAAATACATATACTCATGTAACCACTGCCACAATCAAGAGAGAAAACATTTCTGTCACCCACCCCCCAAAATTTGCCCACGTGCCTTTGTAGTCAACACTTCCACCCCACCCCTTGGCAGCCACTGATCTGCTTTCTGTCCCTATAGTTTTTGCCTTCTCCATAATATCATATAAATAGAATCTTTAGTATGTAGACTTCTGAATCTGGTTTCTTTCTCTTAGCATAATGCATTTGTGATCCATCCACATTGTCATGCTTATCTGTTCAATACTTTTTCTTTTGGTGAGGAAGACTGTCCCTGAGCTAACATCTGTGACAATCTTTCTCTATTTTGTGTATGGCACACCTCACAGCATAGCTTGATGAGTGGTGTGTAGGTCCATGCCTAGCATCCAAACCGGTGAACCCCAGGCCACTGAACTCAAGCATGCAAACTTAACCACTATGTCACCAGGGCAGCCCCTTTGTTCAATACGTTTTATTGCTGAGTAGTATTCCACTGTGTAGACGTACCAATGTGTTTATCCATTTACCAGTTGAGGGACATTGGGTTCTTTACAGGAGGTGATTCTTTAGCACCATGCAAATACCCAGTTTCACACCACATCCACCTTTCAGCTCATGACTTTAGAATCCTTGATGATCCTTGCCTCAACCAAGTATTTAATTGGGAGTTACAAAATAGTTAGTTTCTAATTCTGTCAATCCTTCTACATTAGCTGGTATTTTTCTGTAAAGAAGAGCTTTACCTCATTGACTAAGGCTATTTGGTTATCTTGAAATACTAAAAAATCAGGATAAATTCTGAATTCTTTCCCCTTAATTATCAACTTCAGACTAAGAATTCAGTGCAATAACAACATCCAATGGTGACAAATTAGGATTGATTTGGGGTTTTTTGGGAGGGGGCTTTTTCTTTTAAGAACTCTTTTCTACTATGGACTTACGGATTTTTTTTTTACATTCAACATCTTTAAATTCATTGCAGTCCTCATCTTCCCCCCAATTCATTGAAAGAGTACTTTATTAGGCACTGGGGCTATGCAAACATGGAAACACAATTCTATCTTTAAGAAACTCAAGCTGGAGACCGGCCCGTGCCCGAGTGGTTAAGTTCATGTGCTCCGCTTCAGCAGCCCAGGGTTTCGCCTGTTCGGATCCTGGGCACGGACATGACGCCACTCATCAGGCCATGATGAAGCAGCGTCCCACATGCCACAGCTAGAAGGACCCACACTAGAATATACAACTATGTACTGGGGGGATTTGGGGAGAAGAAGGAAAAATAAAAAATAAAAAAATTTGAAAACAAAAGAAACTCAAGCTGGTACAAGAGGCAAATAAGTAAATACACGATTACAACGCAATGTTACACCAACAATGAGAAGTGTCTGCGGGATTCTGTGACAACACAGAAGAGGGAGCACTGCTTGGGAAATCAAGCTGAATTATACATTTGATGAGACTTAGAACTTTCCTTGTGACTTTTGTCTGCCATTTTATTTTCGTTTTATTCTGTTTTTCATTTTTGTTTTCTTTCTTGCCCTTCTGTGGGTTACTCAAACATTTCTTAGAATTCCAGTTTGACCTGTCTATATTGTTTTTGAGTGGATTACATTGTACATACAGCCTTTGAAGTGGTTCTCTAGGTATTACATTATACACTGTACTTGTCACAGTTCACTTGTGTTGACGTTTTGTCAGTTTGAATGAAGTGTAGAAACCTCACCTCCTTTTACCCTCTCCTGTTTATAATAACCTTAAACATTTCCTCTACATACATTGAGAACCACATTCAACAGTGTTAGAAATTCTGCTTCACCTAACATAATTAAAATACTCAAGAGGAGGGAAGTCTCCTGCATCCATATTTTCACTCTTTCCATTGTTCCTTCCTGATGTTCCAAGATTGCTTCTGTTCCTCTCTGTGAAGACATCCTCCTTCAGCCTTTTTATGTTTAGGTTAGGTCTGCTGGTGACAAATTACATTAGTGAGTCTTCATCTGATAATGTCTTGACTTCTCTATTCTTGAGGTAAATTCTGCTGAATACAGAATTCTGGGCCGACACTTCTTTTCTTTCAGAGACTCAAAAATGTCGTGCTTCTTCCTTCTGGCCTTGATGGGTTTTGATGAGAAACATGCTGTCATTCGAATTGCTTCCCCATAGGTAAGGGGCTGTTTCTCTCCTGCTGTTTTCAAGATCTTTTTTCTTCTTTAGTTTTTGGAAGTTTGATTACGATCTACCTTGGCATTGATTTCTTTGGGTTTATCTTGTGGGGGCTTCATTCAGCTTCTTGAATCTGTAAATTTATGTCTTTTGCCATATTTGGGACATTTTTCGCCATTATTTCTTTGAATACTTTTTCTGTCCCACCCTCTTTCTCCTCACCTTCTGGGACTCTTGATGATACTATTCTGAATGGTAGACCTTTCGGTATAGTCCTACAGGTCACTGAGGCTGCTTCATTGTTTTGTTATTGTTGTTTTGGTTTTCCAAGCTGTTTTCTCGCTATTGTTCAGATTGGGTAATTTCTATTGATCTATCTTCAAATTCATTGATTCTTTCTTCTGCTGTTAAGTCCATCCAGTGAGATTTTTACTTTGGCTATTGTGGTTCTCAGTTCTAAAATTTCTCATCCAGTTCTTTATATCTTGTTTCCTTGCTGAGGCTTGAGGCATTTTTGCCAGATCTGCTTTAAAATCCTTGACACAGATTTCTAACATCTGACTCACCTTGGTGTTGGAACCTATCTTTTTTCATTCGGAATTTTCTTGGTTCTTGGTATGATGGAAGATTTTTTTTTATCCTGGACGTTTGGGGTATTATGAGACCCTCGATCTTATTTAAATCTCCTCTTTTAGCAGTCCTCCTCTGACCCAGTGCCTGTGGGGAAGGGGGATGCCACTTCCTTACTGCCACATGGAAGTCTAGGCACCCACTTAGCCTTTGCTGGCAGGGGTGGAAGGGGCGGCAGCTTCTCTGTGGTGTGTGGCTGGAGCACAGCGGTTACAGTCTGTAAGTTTCTATCTCGCTGGACTGCCCCTTTCCCAGACCTTTGGCTAGAGAGAGCAGGCTTCTGTTGGGGCTTTGTCTGTGTATTGGCATTTCCAGGTTGCTGGCTTCTCCAGCAGCCAGCCCAGGAGATGTGACGCAGGAGGAACGTCTAAGGAATGCCCTGCAGTGGTGTTCTCCAGGTCCTGAGGATCCTAGCCAGTCTGCCTTTTTCTCTCCACCTTTCAGAGTCTTCTTATGTTTGTTTTATATATAATGTCCAAGGTTTTGGCTGTACTCAGTGGGAGGAATAGGGAGAAGCGCATGTGCTCTATCTTTCCAGAAGCAGAAGTCAGGGGTGGAGGCAGAGCTTATCTTTTTGATGCTTAAATTGTCCCATCTTTGGCCAGCGAGACAAGCTGGCTCCTTTGGACATGACCCTTATTCTTTGCTAGCTTCCCTGTACCACAAGATGTTCCAGGCTCACTGTGTGCTCTCCCCGCCCCAGCCCTGGAATCCATCTCTTCTACAAGGAGCCCTGGCTGACCTAAGCCAGTGCTAGGCGGCCACTTGTCTTAGTCAGCTCGGGCTGCTATAACAAAATACCATAGACTGGGTGGCTTAAACAACAGACCTTTATTTCTCATAGTTCCAGAGGCTGGAAGTCCAAGGTCAAGAAGCCGGCAGATTCAGTTCTGGTGAGGGCCCTCTCCTGCCTTGTAGACAGTCGTCTTCCTGCCATGTTCTCATGTGGCCTTTTCTTGGTACATGCTTATGCAGAGAGTCTCTCCATCTTTCTCTTCTTATAAGGGCACTAATCCAGTCATGACAATACCACTCTCATGACCTCATCTAAACCTAATTACTTCCAAAGGTTCCACCACCTAAAACCATCTCACTGGGGGGTTAGGGCTTCAACATATGAATTCTGGGGGGCACAGAAACACTCCATCCATAACCCTATTCCTCTTGCCAATGACTGGTTCAGGCATAGGCCCTTCTCTCTTCCTAAAGGTGATGACAGGAAGACAAGGGCGCTCCCCTTTCTCTACTTGGGGCATCTAGCACTGAGGCCACCCACTTGCTGCCAGCCTAAGGACAAGGCCAGTACAGAGAGGGCAGAGCCAAGAGCATCAGAGGACAGGAAGCTAGAACCCTGATTTTCCTGTCTACAGACAAGCTGTTTCATTTTGGTCCTCAGTCTGCCTCACCCCTGACCTGCCTCAATCAGCAGCTGAGAAAATGAGTAGATGGGGCAGGGAGGTCCATGTGTCATTTCATCTCTCTCACAAAAACCTTTGATCTAAACCCAAAAAGAAACCCATGCACACACTCCTCTACACTTCTGTTTATTCTTCCTGCTTGTTAAAATCACTGACAAGTGCCCTTCATGGGGAAGGGAAGGCAATACTGGGCAAGTCGTCAGGATCCCGATGCTGAGTTCTTAAGTGGGAACCTAGGAAGCCAGAGGTCTGAGGCCAGGCCCTTAGGGTCCTGGAGCTGGGGCTACCACCTGAAGAGAAGTTCGGAGGGCAGCGACAGGGATAGGGCAGCTCCACATGGGCCCCAAACACTCTCCTCCTCAGCCCAGGGAGCTCATCAGGGTCTGGGCCTGCTTCAGTTCTGCAGGGGGAGAGGTAGGCAGTCAAGTATAATCTGGGAGGGCCCCTTACACCTCTAGGGACAGCTCAGCCTCACCTGCCAGCAGGACTTGGAACTTGTCTGCTGAGAGAGACATGGCAACAGGCTGGGCCGGGGCACCCGGGACAGCTGCCACCTCCAGCCGCAGGTGGACCATGGGCTCATCCACGGACTGCAGCAGGCTGGAGCTCAGGGTGTAGTCCACCCGCCAGCCCACACCTGCCAGCCTGTTCACTGCGAGACAAGCCAGGGAGGTCCTCTCAGAATCACAGCAGGAGAGCCAGGCAGCCTTGGCCCCCACCCTGGCTCAGCCCTCAGCCCTTCAAGGCTGCGTGGCTTTTGAGAAGCTCTCATCTCTCTGACCCAGGGCAGGTGGCAATAATCGGGTGCTCAGGCTATCCAGAGCAGATCTCAGAGGAAAGAAACCTGGGCTGGAGTCAGGAGCCCCCACTCTGTGACTGCTTGCCATGTGACCATGGCCAAGTCTCCTGAGGACAAGCACCTCCCATGCTGCATGTACCTTCTAGGATGGAGCCCAGACCCAACCCTGGCCCGCCACTCACTCACCACGCAGGCTGCTGGCCCGCAGGTGCTCCTGCAGGGGGCTTTGCTTCTCCTCATAACAGCGACACAGGCTGGCTGCATGCTCTGGGGGCAGAATGGAGGTGCCCTGAGGCAGCAGGTTGGGACTGGGGCTGCGGCTGCTCAGAAGGCGGGTCTCAGACTCCTGGCCCAGAAAGGGCAGGGCGCATCTTAGGGTCACATGTGTGTGGCCTGGCCTGCTGTCCAGCAGCAGCTTGGCCCACAGGTTACCCAGCGGCCACCCACATGCCCATACCTTTGGGCAGCCCTAGCTGCTGCAGTTCGCTGGACAAGGACTCGCCATCCACACTGTGCTTGGCCGCGCTCGAGAGGATGAAGCTCAACACTGCCACCGTGGCCTTCACATCGCCCGAGTCTGGAGGGAGCCGTGGGTTGGGTAGGGGGGCGTCAGTGTGGCCCCAGCCACCTCCTTGTTGCCCCACTATCTTCAGCTCAGGGGCCCCAGGCCTCCTTGAGCCAAGAGCACTGCTGCTGCTGGCAGAGGACACGGGGTGGGACTGTGGATGTCTTTCTTCCCCTCATGTTCCTCCACTGAGGAAGGCAGAGTAGGGCAGGCTGCTGCGAGGGAGGGCCTCTGTGCCAGGCCTCAGGATGAGTACTCAGGGTCATCCCAAGATCTGTGGGTCAGTGAGGTACTCACCAAACCTGGCGTCAGCAGTGAGCTTCAGGATCTTTTCGTACTATGGGGAAAGGAGGCCTCAGGGGGTGCCAGGCCCTTGCCCACCAGCCCCCCGCCTCCCAGCCTGGATGCTGTGGTAAGGATGGGAGGGATCCAGGGAGTGTGGGAAGCAGATCCCCCACCTCCCTGGGCCTGGTGCAGTTTCAGGGCAGTGGGGTCACAGTCTCGTGGGACAGTGGGGAGCTGTGCCCTGCACTCACATCAATCCCCTGTCCCAGAAGCTCCTTCAGCACCTGGCTACACAGCAGCCGCAGCTTCACCGAAGACTGGAGGGAGAGGCCTCACATCAGCCAGACTGGCCCACCCCCCACGCCAGGGGGTGGGGGGTGCTGGCTCAGAGAGGGCTGGCCATGTGATCAAAGTCACACAGCATGCTAGGACAGGCTGAGAGCACTGAGGCCCCAACACCAGTAATCTCACCATCCTCCACCACCACAGCCCCCCTCCCCGGCCCCTCCCTTCCCCCTCCCCCCAAGTAGACCCTGTGCACTCAACAATCTTGGCCAGCGTGCTGATCTCTGCCAGGACCCAGTCGGGACAGTCCAGATCACCACAGAACCGGAACCTCTGCACAGGAGTGAGGCAGGCAGTCAGGCTGGAGGACGGAGGTGTGGCCAGGATCTGTCTATGTCTCCCTACTATTGCTCCTCAGGGAGCAAGAAGGATGCCCTCTGGCCACCTGTTCTCCCCTATTACCAGGCTGATAGAGGATAGAAATCCCTCTCCCTGACCCACCCTGCCACCACCCTCGTTCTGATGGCAGGCATTCATCTGCTCAGCAAACATCGCCTGGGCACCTTCTCTGTGGGAGATCCCATTCCAAGTGCTGTGGGTACAGCACAGAACTAAACAAAGTCCCTGGTCTCATGACACATGTCACCTCTCTCATGGGCTCCAGCCACACTGGCCCCCTTGCTGTTCCTCAGTTACATCAGTACACTCTCACTGGTGTCCTTGCTGTCCCCTCTGTGGATTGCTCTCTCTCACTTCATTCAGGTCTCTGCTCAAGTGACAACTCTTCCAATGGGCCTTCCCTGACTACATCTTTTTTTTCTTGGTGAGGAAGATTGGCCCTGAGCTAACACCTGTGCCAATCCTCCTCTTTTTGCTTGAGGAAGATTAGCCCTGTGCTAACATCTGTGCCAATCTTCCTCTATTTTATATGTGGGACACCGCCACAACATGGCTTGATGTCTGCAATCAGGATCCGAACCTGCAAACCCAGGCCGCCGAAGCAGAGTGTGTGAACTTAACTACTATGCCACCAGGCCGGCCCCACCACACTTTCTAAAATAGCCCCTTGCACAAGGAAATTTTGGGAACCAGTGGATACATTCACTACCTTGATCATGGTGATGTTTTCATGAATATATACATGTCAAAACTTATTGAATGTTGATTATATTTCAATAAAGCTGGTTTTTTACTATTATTATTATTTTTCCTTCTTCTCCCCAAAGCCCCCCAGTAAATAGCTGTATATTTTAGTTGTGGCACATGGGACGCTGCCTCAGCATGGCCTGATGAGTGGTGCTAGGTCTGCGCCCAGGATCTGAACTGGCAAAACCCTGGGCCACTGAAGTGGAGCATGTGAACTTAACCACTTGGCCATGGGGCCGGCCCTTCAATAAAGGTGTTTAAAAAAATAAAGCAGCTCTTCACCATCATGCTCTAGCCCCTGGGCCTTCCTTCTTGATCTCCTTAGCACTGGTCACAGCATACATCATGTTTCATCATTTATTCAAGGTCTGTTTCCTCTGTTTGAGTGCAAACCCCCCGTCAACAATGTCTTACCAAAATCCTCCATTCCCCTGATCAACTGTCCTTTGTCCTGTTTGCCTGGAAAAGCTCCAACCCACAGCAATACACACGTCCATTTTCCCACACCTCAATCTGGGCTGCTTACAGATGCTGGGAAGAAAACCCCACAAACCAAGGACATGGCACATCCAGGTTCTCCCGATCCTGCCCTCACTGCAGCCTGGCAATGCCAGCCCTCTACTCAGCCCCACATTCACCGTATCAGCCACTTCAGACCCGCCCCAGGACCAACCCTCATGCTCCTTTTCACCTGCCACTCCCCACACCCCCTGATCACATCCGACCCCACTGCACTGGGGCTTCTATGTGGGCCTCCAATGAAGTCCTCTAGCCATGGTCACAAATGGCTCTCTTGTCACTAAATCCAGTTTTCCTCTTCCTTAACTCCTCAGCAGCATCTGACACAAACCCATTCTTTTTCTTGAAGCACCATACTCTTCTTGACTTCTCCCTCTGGCCTGGCCTTGGTCTCATTTGCTGGCTCACTCTCCTTTCTTCAATCCCCAAACGGTCATCTCTGCAGACCACCTGCTGTCACGACTCTGGGCCAGGGGACTGAGGTGACGGCGGTGTTAAGGACAGTCTTGCACTTCTTTCTCTATTTCAGGAGGTTTTAACTTTTTTGTGCCATGAACTCATTTGACATCTGGTCAAGTATATAGGCCTTTCTTAAAACAATGTTCTTAAATGCATAAAATATATAGGATTGCAAAGGAAACTAATTAAAAGTTATCAAAATATTCAATACAAATTGGTGATATGGTATACGTTTCAAGTCTAATAACCATAATTTAGAAATGATGAGCATAAACAATGCCAACAGCTGTCATGTGATATGAAATATCTCTGATTTCTATTAGTGACACAGTTGGAGGTGCTGCTAATAATACTGGGGTTTGTTGCCAATATCCATGATGGAAGGAAATTCTAAATTTCAGTTAGAAGTCAGAGAAATTTAAGATGTCAGATGTTTCCTAAGTTAATGGGTCCCTTTTCCCCCATGGAAGTCTTCTACCATCTGTATTATTTACATATTTTACCACAAGAATGTGTTCCTTGTGTAATTTCTTAAAACACTAGCATTTTCTCTAGGCTCTGTTCTAGGCCCTCTCTTCCCAACTCACACTGTCACGGAGAGAGGTCACACATTTTTAGGGTTCACTGATCATCTTTGTGCTGATGACTCTCAAATTTTTAACTGCCACTGTAGAGTCTCTTCCGAGCTCCAGACCCTTAAATCTAGACTGTCTTGCAGCCAGCTGCACCGGCGGCTCCCACACACCTCACTCAGGCTGTATCACAGCAGCTGGTGCTCTTCCCACTGAAACCTGCTCCCCGTCCTGGGCTTCCCACCCTCTGAGTACCACCACCTGGGAACCGAGCCCAGACGCCTGCCTCGCCTTTTTCCCTCCCGCATTTAGTCCCTGAGCCTTGCAGATTTCCCTCACTTCTACCTCCACTCTCTCTACCCTAACTCAGGTCACACCATCTGCTGGGAGTCTGCTGCCCCAGCCTGGGCTCTCGGCTCCCCTCTTGCTCCCTCTACAAGTCAGCCAGAAGGATCTTTCTAGCTTCCCAGTGCCCTTTTCCTAAAGTCCAAACGCCTTTATGTGCCTCTCAACACCCAGCAAGATTTGCTCTTTGCTTACCTGTTCAGCCTCATCTTTCACTAACCTCCAGTCTATACTCTTCCAGCTAGGTGAAACGCATTCCTTCCCAGGCAGCCCTGCTCTCTCTCATCTGAAGTCTGTGAATATGCTGTTCCCTGTCCGAAGATACGGCATCCCTCACCCGGCCCCCATGCCTCCTGACCCCCGGTACACAAACTGCGCTGCACCCAGCCAGCTTTCTTCCCCGCCCCCAGGCCCTCCGGTTGATGCCATCCTCAGGAAGCCTTCCTAAGCTATGCACAAGGTGCAGTCAGGTCCTTCCCCTCAAGTCTGGACTAGGACCGCCAGTCCAAGCCTCCAGCTTTGCCCTTCCCTCCTGCCACTGCAGTCCCAGCGCGTGGCACAGTGCACAGTATGTAGAAAGGCACTCAAATCTGCTGAAGGAATGAACGGATGGGTGAATTGGAAAGTCCCAATCCAAAAACTCCTCCTTTCCGGCTCTGAGAAGAGCGAAGGGGCTTCCTAAGAGTGCGGAAGGCTGGACCGAATTCTAAGCCAGTTCTTCTCCCAGTCTCGCAGGAGGGCTGGGAAGTGGGCACCCTCGGGAGGTCCTCTTGGGGCAGGGGAAGGCCCGGCAGGGCTCCTGCTCCCGACCAGCCCCGCTTCCTGCGTCAGGGGGCGGGGGCCCTTCTTTCCTGCCAAGGAAGCACCGGGACTCCAAGCCGGCGGGCCGGCCTGCACTGCCTGCAGGGGAGGCCGGGAGGGGGCTCTTCTCTATCAGACCCCCGGCCCTCGGGACGGCACCCAAGGCGTTTGCTGAGGGGACAGCGCAGGCTCTCCACCTCCTCGCACCCGGCGCCCCGCGCTTCCTGCAGCGGCAGCAGGGAGATTTGGGGGATCCTACCCTGCCCGCCCAGCATCCCCCGCCTCGCATCGCCCAGCATCCCTCACCATCGCGCCAGGAGGCCCGGACCAGGCAGCCGCTCCTTCCGGTCGCGCCTGGTCAGCTGACCCCGCGGGCACGTGAGGCCGGGCGGGGCCGCCTCGGCGTGGGGGCGTGGCCGGCGGCGGCCTCCCGAGCCGCCAGGGGCGGAAGGCCGGGGTCGTGCGGCGTCCTCGGAGCGCTTCCCCGGGCGCGACCGGCGCCGACCCCCAGGTAACGGAGCACACATCCAAAGCGGGAGGAAAGGAGTGGAAGCCATTTAACTTGTTCAACTTAAGGGAGCAGGAGCTCTGGCGCCCTGACTGGCCTTTAAAGTAATTCCCTTGTGAGAGGGTGTTGGGGTCATTTCCGTGTTTTCCACCAGTAAGCGATGGCATTGTTTATAGCTATAGTTATGGCTTGTTTATAGCTAAAAAGACCTATTTTTAAAACTCTATTAAAACATAATACGCATACAGAAAACTGTACGTATTGTAAATACGAAGCTGAATGAATTTTCATAAACTGTACATACACCCTATGTAACCAGCACCCATATAAGGAAACAATGTTACCAGCACCCCAGATGTTTCCTTCAAGGGTATTTGATTTCATTTTGATGAATCCCCTTAGTTGCCCAGCAAAAAGGACTATTAAAATTGACGTGCACGTTCAGAACTGTTTCCCTATGGCTTCGCCAACGTTAGATGTTTATCTTAATTTTTCCCAGTCTAATGTGAGAAAAATAGGTTGTCTTAAATTGCATTAGTTTGCTTACTGCTAAGTTGAGCAAATGGATGGTCTCGAAAAACGAAATTTCCACTATTCACGTGAAGAGGTAAAAACAAACACAAAACAGCAACAACAAAAATACACTAGAGAAGAGACTAATAAACGAAGACGACATTGAGCAGTTTGAGATGGTTCCTCGGTTCTCTGCCCTCCTCCCCGTACACCGGGCCCAGCTGGTTTTGTTGTCCTGGCCTTGCAAGCTTTGAAGGACAGATAGAGCCTATGACAATTAAAGTGCTCCATAAATAGATAGAGCTGGAAAACTTCCCAATTCGTGCTAAAATTGATCTCATGTGTAAAGAGCTTTTTAAAAATGGTAAATGTCAGCGTGTTGAAGTCAATAGTGTGTTAAAATACTACACCGTGTCAAAGAAAAATTTTATTTTAGGAATATAAGAGGGCCGGCTCCGTGGCAGAATGGTTAAGTTCGCGCGCTCCGCTGACCTGGGAGCGGACATGGCACCGCTCGTCAGACCACGTTGAGGCAGCGTCCCACGTCCCCCAACTAGCAGGACCTGCAACTAAGATATACAACTGTGTACAGGCGGGGTTTGGGGAGATAAGGCAGAAGAAAAAAAAAAAGATTGGCAACAGTTGTTAGCCCAGGTGCCAATCTTTAAGAAAGAAAGAAAAAAAAGAATATAAGAATGATTCAACTTGTATTTCATCATATCACTAGGTTAAAGAAGAAAAAAATTGATAGATTTGGAAAACCACTTTTTATTAAAAGGGAGAAAAAAGAAAAATTAGGAATAGATGAAAACTGCCTTAAGTTGGTAGAGTATTTGAAAAACAAAATAGTAACCAACAAACTTAACAGACAGGCACATTATTTAAATTTGGAAATAAGGAAAAAGGTGGGTGGCATGTCTGTTTAATGTCATTCTGGAGCGTTGTCTCACTGATTTGTTCCATAAATACAGGTTATTTAGAGTGGTGGTTCTCAAACTTTAGAGAGCATCAGCGTCGCCTGCAGGGCTTGTTAAAGCAGAGTGCTGCCCCCACCCCAGCCCCGAGGCTTCTCATGACATGGACCTGGGATAGGACCTGAAAATTGGCATTTTCAACAAGTTCCAGGTGAAGCTGATGCTTTCAGTTTGGGGACTATACTTTGAAAACCAGTAATGTAAGAAAATGTACCTGAGAAGTTGTATGTTAACGTATAGACTTCTGTCCAGTAGAAAAGATCACCCGAAAGATTGCAGTTTTATTGCAGTATAGGGCATGAACAGGTTCATCTCTAACTCAGCACGTGCTTCAGAATGTCTTTCCTGCTTCACTAGAAATACTTTTTCTCAAAATGTTCCTTGAACGAGCTTTATCATCTTACTGATTCCCTCATTAATTAAAATATTTGACACACATTCCTTCATTATTTGTGTGAAAATCATGTTTTTCATTTTTTGTGAATTAAACTTGGACACAGTATACAAGTGTACTAGCCAGGACAGGAGCACACAGATCCTAGCATACTTTCATACTAGGCGTATTCCCAGTCAAGTCAGGAGCAGGAGTAATGTGCTATCATTACTGTGACCCAATACTGTTCTGTGTTAAGGCCAGCAGTTCTCAACTGAGGGGGATTCTGCCACCGGGGGGATATTTGGCCGTGTCTGAGATGTTTTTAGCCGTCATGACTAGGAAGTGCTACTAGCACCTCGAGGGCAGAGGCCAGCAGTGCTGCTAAGCATCCTGCGATGCACAGGACAGTCCTCCATGACAAAGAATTATAGCCAAAAATGTCAATAGTGCTGCTTTTGAGAAACTCTATTCTAGATAAATAAGACATGGGAAAACTTTTAGCATGAATGTTGAAAAATAATAAACTAGTATTTGTAGATGACAGTCTCTCTAGAAAATCTAAGAGAACCACCTGAAGAACAATTAGAAGTCACAGAATGCCAGGAGGCCAGTGGGGACTGTACTTTGGAGTGGAGTGGAGCACTGCGCGTAGACCAGGCTCTCCAGGTTCCCCTGGGGCAGAGGTATTAGAGACCCGCAGGTGAGCACCTGCTTGTCCTCATCTCACAGGGGGAGACGGGGAGGCTTCACAAGGAGGTGGAGGCAAGCAGGGGAGGCCAGGCCACATCTGTTGGACCCCCTGCCAGCCTGAGAGAAAGCCAGAGGTCAGAGCTGGGAGGTCTTGAGAGCCCTGGCCCAGCCCTGGTTTCACTGATGGAGGTGAGGCTCAGGGAGGGGAAGGGTTAGCCCAAGTCACCGAGCCTGTAAGGGGAGGGCCCAGACGAGAACCCAAGAACCCTGGGCTAGTTGAAGACCCTATCATTTTGCCCTGCAGATCGTGGCTGGAGTCCAGTCCATCCTCTGGTCAGGATGTGATTTTTTGGCCTCTGACACCAAGGCCCACCTCACCTGTCCCTCTTCTCACTTGCAGCTGGCTGCCACACTCGGGCAGCCCCACATCGCAGTCGAGCATCTCCTGAGGGGGTCTGAGGGGCTGGGTCCCAGGGTCAGTTCCTCAGGCAGGACCAGGTGGCCGGTCCCAAACAAGTCCCTGTGCACCTTCCCCATCAGCTGGGCCTTCCTGCACTGCACAGCCCTGGGGGATGGATGTGGGGGGATTCCAAGGACGAGCCCTCCCTGAGACTGGCCGCCTCCTTGCAGCCCCCACAGCAACACTGCCACCCCTAGACCTACCCACAAGTCCCATGTCCATCTAGTCTGCCTCCCCAGGCTTCAGAAACACTGGGCTTTGTACCCACCCCACTCCTCACACTTGGTTCCCTGCCTAGCAGGCTGCTCAAAGGGGGACTGGTTCCACCTGTTGGATAAAGGTCTTCAGAAATCACCTTTTTCAGGATTATTTTCTCCTTCATTCATTCCTTTACTCACCAAATACCCACTGTCCACATCTCTATGCCACGCTCCGCGGGGTGATAGGTCAAGCAGAGTGCTCGTCCCAAGGAGTTCCCCCGTTTAGACACAGACAGACAGGCAGACGCTCAGACCATGATGTCCTCTGGTCGAGTGGGCACCCGGAGCTGGGGGGAAAGGGAAGGCCTCACTCATAGGAAGTGATGGTGGGTGTGAATGTGGAGGGGTGGGCGCGGGTATCCAGGCAGAGGTCCCAGCTTGTGAAACGGGGGTGGGGGCACGGCCTGCTCTGTCTGGAAGGCTTCCTGACCCTGCCACTGTAGGCCCTGGCTGGACAGGTCAAGGCTTCATGTTGACTTTTTAAATGATATTTAACACATTTTAATTGTATAACTAAACATGATTATTGTACTAAAAATCACAAAATACAGAGAAGTTAAAAAATATCAGTAAACCCCTTCTGTCCCCAAATAACTTCTCCAACAGCTCTTTCTGATTTTTTTCCATGCATATGCAGCTGTGACATAATAAACATGTATTTGGTCTCTGCCCTCAGTTCCTGAAATGGAGCTCCTAAATCTGTTGGAGTTCCCTGGGTGATAGGAGTGTCTTTTGTTCTAATGAGGTGACTCTGAGTGGGCTCCTGCATGGCTCCTGGATGGGAGCCGGTCACCAGGAAGACCAAGCCATGATTAGATCTTGGGAGGGGCTGCAGATTGAATTAACAATCCATCATGCCTACAGGATGAAGCCTCCATAAAAATCCCTGATCCTCAGAAAGCTTCGGGGTCAGCGACTACATCCGTGTACTGGGAGGGTGCTGCGCCCTACTCCATGGGACAGAAGCTCCTGCATTCAAGACCCCGCCAGATCTCATCCTATGTATCTCTTCATCTGCTGCTCATCTGTATCCTTTATTACTGAGCATAAGTGTTTCTCTAACTTCTGTGAGCTGTTATAGCAAATTCTCTAACCTGAGGAGTGGGTTGTGAGGACCCTGATTTGTAGTCAAGTTGGACAGAAGTGTGGGTAACTGGGAGACCCACTGCTTGCAACTGCCATCTGAAGTGGGAGCAGTCTTGGGGGACTGAGCCCTTAACCTGCGGGGTCTGGTGCTAACTCTAGGTATGTAGTATCAGAATTGAATTGAAGTGTAGGACACTCAGCTGGTGTCAGAGGATTGGCTGGTGTGCAGGGAAAATACCCCATACGGGGACCGGCCCTGTGGCCGAATGGTTAAGTTCCTGCTCTCAGCTTCGGCAGCCCAGGTCCTCACTGGTTTGGATCCTGGGCGTGGACATGGCACTGCTCATCAAGCCATGCTGAGGCAATGTCCCACATGCCACAACTAGAAGGACCCACAACTAAAAGTATACAACTATGTACAGGGTGGGGGGGGGTGGTTTGGGGAAAAAAAGGAAAAATAAAATCTTTAAAAAAAAAACCCCATACATTTGATGTCAGAGTATTCAGTGAATAAAGGAATA